TAATGTGTAAATGCTAGGCGTTGAATTCACATTTAGAAGAGATTATTCATGGATCCTGAAACATCTGCATTTGCAGAAATGGGAAAACCGATAGAAGATGAAGCATATGCGTCCAAAAAAGAGACAATTTTGACAAACGACTTAGGGTCCACATTTACTAATCCTTCCAAACGTATTCAATGGATGTGGAATTCGAATACAGATCCTTTTTCGAAATCTGAGTCGAAGCAATGGCATCCTTACACTGATGTAACAAACATGATTATTGAAGAAGCATTTATAGCTGGTAAATCTTACGCTTTTTTTGATGATTATCACATTGATTTGAAACAGAAACTTCAAATCTCTAACAGCGATATCAAGAAACAACGGCCCGTCCGACGAATGGAATGCAACACATATGAAAGATGTTTGCGAGAAGAAAGATTTATGCCTAATCCTGTCGCTCCCAAGCGTCCCTATGGTGGTTTGTATGGCTATATTTCACCTTTCATAAAGGCAGTAGTGGAAGATTTCAAACTTACAAAAGATCAATTACCTTCGAAAAACGAAGCAATTGTTCCAATGATCGTAGAAAAAGCTGCTTTGGGTATTATTGAAGAGGGAAAAGAGATCGAAAAACGAGATGAGGCCGAAATGATAGCAAAGATATTAATCGAAAAAAAAGGATTAGGAATGAAAGAAGTGTGGAAGTGTTGTGCGAAACTATATTCTTTGGAGAGCTTCTTGTATAAAAAATTGAATGGCATCATGCGATTAATAGGAAGTGAAGAACATGAGCAGGTTTGGCGAAGTAAGGTACGGACATTAGGTCCATTTAGTCTACTTCTATAGGACAATCCATTCAATAGCAAGATAACTAAATCAGGCACACTACTTTATCGTGGAACGCAATTGTCTAATGATTTCATTGCCTCACTCAGAGACGATTATTTTACGGATCCGCAACCACTACGATCCTTTCAAGCATTCACTTCGAGTAGTCGAAATTCCGAAGTAGCCAAGATGTATGGCAATGTCTTATTTATTATGAACGTGTGTATCGCTTGTACTGTCGATCTTCAACCATTTTCAAATTTTCCTGATGAAGAAGAAGAGCTAATATCGCCTGGTGTTTGCTTCACTATTGATCGAATGGAATTTGACAAAGATGCGGACAAACATTTGATCTACTTAACTCTTCAACAAAGGCATGCGAGTAAGTCAACATAATATTTTATTGCAATTTTTCACCAACATTTATGTCTATCGTTCACATTCACCTTTCTCTCCACTATTTCTTTCGACGGTCAAATATCGTTCGAACAGACAAATTTCTAGGACATTCCGTACCAGAATTAGTATTGTGCTTTGTTAAATGATACCGAATTTATCAGACCATGTCAATCATATTGTTCAACTAACGTAATCATTCTGCAATCAAACACACCAATATCTAAAGTAAACTGTAATAGTAAGAAGTCTTTAGCCATTTTAATTCATTATAAAAAATTGGTTTGGTATTCGTGATTCAATTTTTCTCTCATCTTTCCAAAAACTTTCTTCTATTGAGCAAAATTAACTACATACTTAAAAAATCTATATCATGTCTAAAACAACCCAAGAAAAAATCCCATCAAATCACTTTACACACATCAACTTATTTTACAACCCAATTTTAGGAACTGATCAACATGAAGTGTTCAATGATGTAGCACAAATAAAACAGCAACATTCCAATCATGGTTTTTTTCGTTCTGATCCTAATTTTCGTGCTAATCACTATCCTGTATATGAGCGTACTTTTCATAATAATCCTGCCTTTCGTCTTCTTCGTCGTGATGATCATGATACTAGTATTGATACTGTTATTGGTGCTTTTGCTAGTCGTCTTGCTGATCGTTATGATCGATTTGGTCGTGATAGTGATTGGAATGATGAATGAGTTACAAGAGTCAGACGAACAACTATTATCGTGATTTTATGCCGACTAAATGAATCATCAGATTGCTTTAACTTTTAAAACTCCTCTGATTTACGAAAGAACTGACTAATTTTTCATCTCAAAAATTCAGGGTGTGAGTGTAGGATGTGGATGTGGGTGTATGGTACAAGGGAATTTCAACAGTCGCATCAATATACATAAAAAAGAATAATTTTTATAAGATTGGCAACAGCAGATACATCATGTTTCACATTTTTAATCCTGCAAAGGATTGCACTAAAAGTTTTTTTTATAAAAGCAAAACTTAAACAAGAAGAACCATACATATACCATTTAGGTTTGCTTTTCTTTTTTTATTCATTGTCATTTTCCTTGTATATTTTTGTTTTGTTGTTAGTCTCTACTATCAAAGTGCTTCTTTTCTAATATGTGAATAATAAAACATAAACAAGATGAAATATTTAGTTGTGTTATAAAATGAAGGTAGGATTTATTTGGTTATGATACAAATAAGAATCTGCATTACAGATTGAAAGTGAAATCGAATGCTAAATTTTCACTATGAACATTTATTGTTAGGTATATCTCATGATATCTAAAACAAGAAGATGATAATCATTTGTTTGAAAGTTTTTTGCGTAAGATGTATCGATGAGCTAATTTCCAAGACAAATATTTATTGTTCGATTGTTTCTTTGATTTCTTATCAATCATAGATCGAAAGTTTAGTAAACTATTCAAAAAAATCTCTATAAGCTAAGCAACGAGGAAAAGATATTTTTTCATGCAAACTTCATACTTTTATTAGAGTTGCACTTTTTCTACGTACGTCAATGTTTTCGGATAATGGATTCATATAAAAACTGCAACAAAAAAAACATTATAAAATAAAACGCTTACAAGGAACTTCTTCAACTGTAAACTATCGCTTGAGCCAATTTTGGACCCACAATGAAATCTCAATATTCTTGGAACTGATGAAATTTGTTTCTAACGGATTCGAGCGGTTGGTTGAAATTCTTGATTTAACTGACAATCTTCTAAGAAATGGTTTATTAATACAGTCTTACAAAGAGATTGAGTGAAATTTATATAACTCTTGAGATTTATAATACCAATGTTGTTCATTTAATCCGTTCCATGCTACACGTGCTTATATTGAATAACAAAGGAGAAGTATTTCAAAAAGTTTCATGTAGTATTTCACAACAAGTAGTATAGAACAATATTTGTTCCTTATTTTGGCTGGTTTTTCTTAATATATATATGATTTCTTCATGGCAAGTGATAAGTTCCATTGCTTGTTATTTGAAATTATTATTCAACGTGCTGCAAACAAGGGTGCCACTTTTATTTTTGGTTGCCTTGAAAAAGTCAAGAAAAACAATGCTACCTTTATTTGAAGGACTTTTTCATTCGTCAACTACTATTGTAGATGGAAAAATTAAATGAGTATATTGCTCGATTTGGAAATAGACTTCATATTTTTAGATTTATTTTTATAAGAACTTAAGCCTTCTTTTTAAAAATGCATGAGACTAGTAGATAGCAAAAGTTTCGTATTAAAAGAACCTTTTTTTTTGCTAATTATGCAATTAGAATGTGATCTGTGGCCTACTGGCCATTATTAGTTTCTGACATTCACTATCAAGCAGTTCACTAATGAGTCTGAAATTTTGAAATGTGAAATTTCTAGTTTAGATTCTGAATCAGTGGATAACTTATTTAAAGCTGAAATTTTGATGATGACTACAAATTTATCAACTCGATATTTCGAAGTAGATGAAGTGCGTTGTAAGATGATTACATATATAGATGGAATTATCATTGTTCGAATTACATTTATGTTTTGGCCATTGGTTTTTATGACTTCTATTAATCTTTCAAAAAAACAAAACAACTATTTATTCAATAGTATACTAACATTTTTAGTCAATATAAAACTTTAAAAAAATTAATTAGAAGATGATTATTACATTAAAAACTAGTTGATCAATAAAACGAATAATTTCATAGAATAATTCACTAATGAAAATTGTATAAACCAAGGTGGTGTTTTTTTGTCGAACAATAATAATCGATTCAAAATAAGTAGTTAGTGTGAATTCATATATATTGATTTAGCTTGAAGATTAACACTATTTCTGTGTATATATATGTATGTTTCTATTATTTGATAATTTCTTTTATTTGACAGTAAAAGCATATTCTCACCTTCACTCTCAAAAGAAATTATATCTTCAATTTTATTTCTAACAGTTTTATAAAAAAAATATCCAATCGA